GATAGTGTCTCAGGAATGGAACATGGCCTTTGCCCATTCACACCTCTTCCTGGCCTTGAGCTGTCTATTTCAGTCTTACTAGTTAGTCTGTTAGGAGCAATGATGTTCAAAACATTACAGCAGGATCCTGGAGGCTTTGGGTAGGCAACCAGAGATCCAAAGAAAATTGCCAGGGCATTTAAGGGGCATTCCCAGGGGGCCAGTGTCCTTTAGTTTCTTGGCTACTTAAGCATGTTCATTTGTAAAAATTCAAGTTCTCTACTTGGGATTTGTTTGCTCATCTGCATGTATGCTACATCATAATCAAATGTCTTTCTTAAGAAACAGCCGTGATTTATACCTGTTACATCCTCTCCTGCTAGAGATATTCAAACAGAAAATGACATAGTCAGATTAGTGCTAGGATTAAGGAAAGCATATTATAAAAGCATAAACACCAGAGATCAAACTCATTTGGTAGGGAGGGGCAGGGAAAAGATTTAAGTGGGATTTGTCAATCCAGCTTATCTATCCCTCTTCCCAGCTTTCTCTGTACATGATAAGGATTTCTATGAGGAAACCAGAATGGTAGGACAGATTTTATGTCTGCAGCGATATGCCTGAAAGTTAAATGTGCTTGGAAGATAACATACTGTTGTATAAAAAGCAAAAAACAAGCTGGGCAACAGTGGCTCATGCCTGTAATCCTAGGTGCTCAGAAGGCTGAGATTGGAGGATCTCTCAGCCAGCCCAGGCAAAAGTAAAGCTGTGGATCAAGTGGTAAAGTGCTAGCTTTGAGCGAAAGATGCTCAGGGACAGTGTCAAGGCCCCTAGTTCAAGCCCCAGGACTGGTGTAAAAGAAAAAAAAGGCAAAAGCAAATACATAAAAATAACTTTGCCTTGGGTAGTTTGCTGGTGTTTATCTCCCCAGATTTAGTTTTCCATTAGCATGGGAAATTCAGGAGTGAAATGAATAGTAACTGAGACCCAACAGTGTGAAGTATTTTGTTATTGTGACATATTTCTTTTTTTTTTAAAAGATGATACAAGAGTTTGTAGGGGTGGAGAACCTTTATTCTTCCAAGAGTCATTTGTGTGTGTTTGTGTGTGTGTGTGTACACACATCATTACAGGCCATGAAAATTTATCAATACAAGCAGACAACCAGGGAAGCCAACAAGAAACATTACAACTCTGTCTTATCATGTAGCAAATAAGTTCAGGCCGAGAATTCCCCACCCCTGGAACATGATAGCTCTATTTCTTCTTTTCATTATAATGGATGGAATGCACACAGTGATACAACTAGCAAGAGTTACAAGGTGTTATGTTATGCAGTTCTCCATGTAAATACAGTATGAGCTCATAGATAGAATCAATGAGTAGAGAGTGGACCTGTTGGGTGATTGGCATTATTGGAGCAGATAGGGCCCACATTTATCTTTGAATAGAAAGTTCCAGACTTGGGGATGCTTAAAGAAATGCCTTGGGAATACGTTGGATATGTAGATTCCTGAGTTCTTCCCCCATGTCTGTGGGTGTGCATTATGAATCTTCACAAGCAGGTGTAGGTGGTTCTCAGGCCATGCCGTGCTGTGAATTTTGGTGAGGAGAGATGGCATCATTGGTAGAAGACAAATGTGTGGAAGAACCATGCAGAAGCCAGTGAATTCCAGAAACAGAAAGTTTATCTAGGAGGGTCGAGTGTGGTAGCTAGCGTTTGTCTAGGGACCAGGGGTGTGGAATAGTCAGTGGCAATTGATCGTGGTTGTTGCAGTGTGTAGAGCCCGTGCTTTTATTTGAAGGTAGATTCAGAATGAGATCCATGTCTAAATAAATATAGCACAGTGATATAATTTTTGCATGTTGATCTGGAAGAGCTCGAACAAACCTTACAGGTGATGTTCTTCTGCACTTTCATTTAGGAGAGCCAAGAAAAGAACTTCCCAAAGATCAGCAGAGATTCAGCTCACATTTCAGAGATTTATGATGTGTAGCTTGACTTTCTTGATCAATTTCCTTCTTTTGTAGACTGGCCTCCCTGTTCACATGGGAGGTTCTGTGTCCAACGAGGTTGCTGATCTATTTGTAGTTGAAGGTTGCTTTGCCACTGAGCATGGTAGAGGCATTGGTACTTACTGTGGTCTTGCTTCCTGGGGTTGTGCTTCTTGTGGCACCCAGCATCTACAGTGCTGACAAGGGTGAAAATTCTAATGACCTGTGTGATATCACCGACTTCAACTTATCCAAAGATTTCATCTAGTTCCATGGAATTAGTCATCTGAGTGAGCCCATGGTTGTTGAACATTGTGATTCTAGGAAGCACTGTTTGGGCAGGGACTTTGTGCTGGTAAGGTTTAGGAGCATATTGTTTGTAGTTCACAAGCTGTGTGATACTAGGAAGATTCCTCAACCCTCAGCCACAGTTTCTACTACAAGATGTGTGTCCTCATGCAACGAGATGATACTATAAAATGCATACAGAGTATATATACCACATTGTAAATAGTTAATAATACGATTGAGCATTGGTTATGTTGAGCTCGGTCAGTATTAGTTATATAATGATATAATATTTTATTAATAGCAATAAATATTTCTAAATGGTTTTCCATCATTGTCGCTGAGGACTCCAGGATTCCCCTGAGATAATAAACTCAGCCAGTGTTTATGTCCCTTATATAAAATAGCTTAATTTTGTATATAACCAGCCTATCTTCCTGTATAGTTAAACTTAGCATCTCTAGATTTCTTATAATACCTAATGCAATGCATATAGTTTTCTTACTGTATTTTTTGGAACAATGACAAGAATAAAAACAACCTTTACATGATCAGTATATATGAAATTTTCTTTCTTTCTTTCTTTTTTTTTTTGATTGGTTGTGGGATTGGGCCTGGGCACTGTCCCTGAGCTCTTCTTGAAGGCTAGTGCTCTAGTATTTGAGCCACAGCACTACTTTCAGTTTTCTGATGGTTAATTGGAGATAAGAGTCTCGTGACTTTTCTTGCCTGACTTGCTTTGAACCATAATCCTCAGATCTCAGCCTTCTGAGTAGCTAGGATTACAGGTGTAAGCCACCAGCACCCACTCTGTTTACGTTTTTTCTTTTTTCCTTTTAGCCATTCTCATTGACACTGAAGGTTCACTGTTATCTATTTCACTATGTATTTGCCAAGATAAAGCCTAATATACATAGAAAAATCCATAATAAGGAACTGTATAAGGATTGGTCATTTGTAATTCTTTATTATTCCTTGGAAGCTCTACCTGTTTTATTATGGCAATCACTGAACCCATCTTCAGCACACATGTTGATCGAGGATTACAAAATGAATGACTTGGAGGTTTTTGTAACCATACTATATGTTGCATAGTGTTCCTGTTGGAGAATATTAGCATTATTCACCATTCAGGTATGAAGAAGGTTCAGATTGCTCAAGAAACCATTTGGATAATGGTTTAGGCAAGTGCTTTGCAAACCTCTCATCCAGTTTTTTTTTTTTAAACTTTCTTTCTCAGAGGAGACAGGGGAGGAAAACCCTACACCTCCCCATACCATTTTATTTTGTAAGAACTACTGAACCAGTTGTTTGAATTAGCATAGTTATGTAATGCTCTTCTGTCTCAGGCAGTTACTCAGAGTGTTACTGGGAGGGTACAGGAAGTTACAGACAGCAGAGTGGAGTGAGTGCTCACTGAGCCTGTGTTCTGTAGCTCACTGTTAAAGCATGTGAATGATGTGGCTTCCATCTGCATCCCCCAGGCTTATTTATACCCCCCCCTCCTTTATCCAGGCCACCCCTTGTGAGGACAGAGTTCTCACTGCTGAGCTAATCAGAGCATAACCTCTTATGGACAAGCAGTGGCAGCTGAACTGAGCATGCCCAGAAATGGCAGTCACTGAGTAGGTGGGGCCCCCTGCCAAGGGAACAGGGATTCCAGGGGATGAGAGGCAGGCCAAGGGTGGCACCTTTGGGGCAGATTCCCACATGGACAAGAGGAATAAAGGTTCCTACCACAGACCAACAGTACTGTATGTGTAGATCCTAATCATGATGACAGCTGCTAGAGCAGTTTTACTGTCCTCCTCTCCCTCTGGACAGACAGAGGACTTAACTGTATTTATGCTCTGATGTAAATCACTTTCCATTCTTCCACGTGCCAACTCAGATGTTTCAGAAAGGTAAAATGTCACCTGTTTCCAGTATCAGTACAATTTCCAGTGGTTTGGAGAACTCTTTGGAAGAACCCCTAATGCATCCCGTCCCACCAACTGGGCCACCTTGGAGAGAGCTTTTGCAGGTGCAAACAGAGCAGGGTAGAGGGCCTATGTTAAATGGCTGCAGTCTCCTGTACAAGCCCTCCCCTGTGGTGCCCTGGTGGACTGTACCTGTCTGCCTGAGCTACACTCCTGATGGAGTGTTAAGAACTACCAGCAGGGGCTTCTTCTTCTTCTTCTTCTGTCACAGACTAGCATGGTATAAGTTAGTTACTTTCACATGCATTGTAGGCTGCTTGGCATATTGTATAGAAACTCTGTTGCAGGAAATGGGGAGGGTATTGTGTACTGTATATCGGGACCAGCTCAATTCAGTGTTAAATTTAAGTCTGGGACAAGAAGCAACGCCCACCCCATTACAAGTTTATATGAAGCAAACATCTATTTTTGCTATGTGCAGATTTCACTGTATGAAGTGCTAAAAATAGCCAAATGCTCAGAAATCATTTGTGATGCAAAAATGACTGGAGGGGGAACCGTGTTGTTTTCTGCCCTGGTTATGACTAAATTGTACAGGCCAGAAATTGTGCCCTAGAACTGTTTCCGCGAGGTCATTCCAAGACATTGCTGGTGTTGGAAGGCTATTGGGCCTCTCCCTGTGGACCTGAAATGTCATCTTGCCCACACAGACTGTTAAAGAACTTAAAATAATTCTGACAGGGTTTTTTTTTTAATTGCCTAAAAGAAATTATTTGGGCATCAAACATTTTTCTGAGTGCATTTATTTATTTTTGATTTTTGGAAAAAAGCTGGGCTAGGTGACAGGTTAACAATCACCAAGTCTCAGAGTTATTATTATGCCTTTTAAAGCGCTGAACCCATGTCTGAAGGCTGATGTTTCCTAATCTATGCCATGTATAAGGCCGGCATACTTCTTTGCTCCTGTGCTGGCCTGAGTCATTTTGAATGGTATCATAAGATCAAGTGTCTTTGGTATAATCACAAAGCTGGGCCTCAGAGATCAACCCCTGCACCCTGAGGTCTGATGCTTTTTCTGTTTACCAGGCGGGCAATTTCAGTTGCCTTCTAGCAGCTAGACAAGTCTTCAGATTCAGAAATGTTGGAATCTGCCAATGGAACAGCTGGTTAGTTTAATGCCTGAAGGCTGGGCTCCTACTGCAAGTTGTAGGAAATGCCCCCCACCCCCACCCAGATAAGCCAGCTGACCCAGTTCTCAGTGTGCTGGCATGGTGGGGGTAGCCGCAGCTCCACTCCCCATCCACCGCGTGGGCACTCAGCCTGCTCTGCGGTGTGGGCGAAGATGGATGTAGTCTTCTGCCTGTCTCTGGGCTTCCCAGATTTGCCGGATCATCTCCAATCTTCAACCTGCAAAAGAAAATAAGAACTGAGAAAGTAAGTGAGCGTCCAAGCAGCGCGGAAAGCAGAGTGGATAGAGGAAAACTCTCATACTGGAAAGGCCTTAGCCACTTAACCCCTCGCGTGCGGTTCTCCGTGGCTGTCCCACTGACTTTGCCGTGGACTGGCAGGAAAGTGAAAGCAAACTCTCTTTCCGGAAAAATCTGTGGAATGTGTCATCCTCCTCCCAGCTCTGTGGGTGGCACTTATGTTGTAATGGGTCAACCTTTTGGACTGTTGGCACTTCTGAAAAAAACAGAGAAGACAGTGGCAAAATCTACGGCCGAACCCCAGAGAAAGATTTGTTCTTACACCCCCCCCCCCCCCCCCCGCTACCTCTCTGTGTCTGTGTCTCTGTCTCCTACTTAAAATTTTTCTTAGCATGTAACGGATGCTCGACATACTGGGGGAGGAAAAGGAAGATTGGCTAAAACAGGAAATTTGGACTTAATTTGGAAGCAAAAAAAAAAAAAACCACCCAGTGAAATAAATGTTTAAACGGAAGTAGTCATATAAATATTTTCACTTTGAGAAATGAAAGCAGTGCCTAGCTTCATCTATAATAACCTGTAGCCATGCTATATCTGGACTTTGTGCTAGAAAGCCATACGAATGCCGATTTGGCAAGAAGGAAGCGTGCGTTGTTTCCCACAGGAGGACTGGGCAGCAGCTCTGTGGGGCTGAAGCTTCCTGAAGGTTCCTGCAGCCGCGGGGCTCGGTATACCCCTGGCTTCTCCTTGGCACACTGTCCTTCCGTTTATAGTTCCTTAGCATTTTCTCTTCCCATGTACAATCCAGGCCAGTAGAGCTGGGATACTGGCATTTCTTCTTCCAGCTGGCTAGTTTTAGGAAGGATGCAGTTTGAGCCTGTTCCTCCTTGGCTTTTAGCTTTCACTTGCCTTATTTGGTAAAGCCATGGGGTTCGTTATTCCTGGAAAGGGTTGTTTCACTCATTTCAAGGACGGTTTCCCACCTCCCTTGTCTTTCTGAGCAGGGGAACTTGCTTGTAGCTCTGGGGTATCTGTTTCTCGCTGGGGCAATTGCAGGGTTGGGTTGTCTTGAAGAATTCACATTGGATTCAGGGTAGGGTGATGGACCCCTTACTACTAAGGCCTTTCCTTGCAATCCACACAGTTCAGTGTTAACTTCCTTTTGAACCTAGGCTCTCCTGAACCAGCTTGGCATTTTTGGCTTTGTCCACAGCCTGGTATTGGCTATGTCCTCCTTGCTTTTCTCAGAACTGCCCTGTCTATGCTGTTTTTCCCTCTCGTTCTTTCAGGTTCTGCATCTTCTCTGCCTGTTTGGGAGCTTTGTTTTCTCCTTTATCAGGAATAGATAAGCGTTGCTCTCATGACCAAGTTGTAGCTGAGCTCATGTTTTGATGACGTTTATAGGAAGACATATTCTTACCATGTTTGTTATGTGTGAAAGCATGTTCTCAACCTCTCCTCCACCCTCATTCCTTAACCAGTCACCCCCAGAATCCTTGCGTACTTCATTCTTGAATATCAAAGAGACAGGGTTTTAGAGAGATAGGAGGGGTGAGTTATTTCTTAGAGTCAAATTTTGTTTTGTGTTTAAGCCTAAGAAGGAAGTTTGTAGAGCCTCAGCAAGATAGTTCTCTCCTTTCTGATTAAAGATTGGGATGGAGAAGGGAGAAGGAGGAAGTGAGGTTGATGTTAGCTAGTTCTTGTTCCCCCTCCCCATTTGTAGGAGGCAATTGAATTATTTAATCATTTGGAGGGATATATATATATATATATATATATATATATATATATATATGTTTTTGGTCAGTTATGGGGCCTGAACTCTGGGCCTGGGTGCTGTCCCTCAGCTCTTCAGCTTATGGTGAGCGCTCTGCCGCTTGAGCCACAGTGCCACTTCCAGCCTTTTCTGCTTATGTGGTGCTGAGGAATCGAACCCAGGGCCTCAGGCATGTGAGGCAAGCATGCTACCACTTAGCCACCTTCCCAGCCCCTAGAGGGAATATTTTTTTTCCTCTCAGAACTTGGAGGCTGCTGCTCCAGGAGAGTTAGTTAAGTTCTTTTTGTAGAGACTCCATGTTCTTCCTTCCCCTTCACTTTGGAGTGTGTGAAGTTAAAGGATGCCGTGTAATTGTAGACATCCTCAAACGCTAAGGAAAGGGCACCCGGGTGACATCGAGCAGTTTGCTGGGTCGGGGGAAGAGAGGAGATAAATCAGCATGAAGGGTGGTCTCTGAATGTCCATCACCACAGCTAAGCGGACCCTAAGGCTTTCACCCTTCCAAAGCAAAGAGCAGCCATTGCTCTTAGCCATCCTCATTGTGTGCCTTCCTTGCGTGGGCAGCAGTTTTGGCATTTAGGAGACTGTTTAGTCCTCTCTGGTTTGAGTTTTTCTGTTTCTTGATTAGAAAATGACAGGCAAACTCTATTCAAAGTAATGCGTTAGTTGTGTTATGAACACGTTTGCTCAGTTAGTGCTGGGTGAAGCACATAAAACCAGCCAATTATCTGTCCCTACTGGAGCTGTAGGACTGTTTGGATTTAACTGCCTGAAGTCCTTCTGCTCCAGTGATTAATGTTTCTTGGCTGGAGTTTGTCCTGAGTTAGTTCTTTGGTCCTTCTTTTTATCATAGCTATTCTAGTGCATATAATTTCGCCATGCTACTACCAATGACTGCTACTACTGATAATAATAGGTATTAAACTGACATGGTACCTGCTCTGAAATGAAAGCTTTCCCAGTGTTTTTGTTTCTTCTATGAGTGTGAATCTGTGGTCAGATCCTTGTTTTCCTGATGAGGAAACATAGAGAATTAACATACCCAGAGCAACAGTTGCAATGTTGGTCCAGGCAGCCAGATTCTAGCTAGAAATGGCTTAGCTGATCACCTCCCAATACTGTTGAGCTCGTTGTGTGGCTGCAAGTTGAGCTGGTCTATGGGGTTTGTGGTACAAGGACTGTCTAGACTGAATGCACACGAGCTATTTGGGTGATTGCTGATTTCTTTCATAAAGGCCATTTGCCCTCCTTTGTTGACACATTTCTGTCTTCAACTTCCTGTCCCTTGTGTTTTTATTGTGCTTTTCTTCTGACCCTGCATCTACCTCTTGGGTGTGTGTCAGATCTACAGGTCTCCTGTACATTTCCTGAGACTTTGAGGGCTTCTATTCTTGTGTTCTCTGCCTGCAAATTGGGAGATAGCTTGGGAATGCATTTATGTTTTTTCCCCTGAAGGTTATGGTAATACTCTAGCTTTGCTTTTAGGCAGTGCTTCTCAAACGATAGATAGACCACCTAGGACAAGGATAGTGTTACAAATACAGATTCTACTGTAGTCAGTGTGCTGTCTGATTGGCAGACTTGTGTTTTGGGGTAAGACCCTACATTTCTAATCACCATCAGCTTCTCCTTCCACCTCCTCGTTCCTCACTTCAGTGGGGCTTGAACCCAGTCTCCTGCATCTTCAATGCGTTTCTTTACCTGGAATTTTCAACCACTTCGTAAACTGTACCTCACAATGGCTGGAGTTTATAGCGCCCAACAACATTCTAGAGGCATTTTTTTTTTCCAGGAGAAAATAGAAAACTGATCATGACATTGAAGGAGACACTGTCATCATTTGGAAAGGACTTGTTCAAAAAGCAGGCCTGGTTAATTGGTAGCTTAGTATCTGATCTTTGTCACTGAAGGCTGCAGATCATGCTGTCTGGAGTCTTGTTGGAGACAGCTTCTCACTGGGGAGGTTTTTCTTTCTTGCTTTTCTTTTTCTGTTTTTTTTTTTTAACACCTCTTATCTGACTTTTGTTAAATAGCCCACTGGAATCCAAAATAGTAGCTGTGTAGGGAGATTCTCCCTGAGCACACTTCAGCTGCCAGAGCTGTGCTGGGGAAGTTGTACTGATGATACCTGCCCACCCTGGTAGGAGAACTGCCTGTAACACCACAGGTCCCTCAGACATACTTGGTTCTGACACTTGATGCCTGACTGTCCCCTTCAGCATCTCCACCCAGAGTGGTGGGCCTAGGGAACCATTTAAGATTTAAAAATAGCCATAGTCTCCTCATGAAACATGAAGGCATTACTACCAGGGCTGGAGTCTCTTTTTGTTCCATTCATGACCCTAGAGTTAGCCACCGTTATTAGATCATCCTATATTCTCCGAGATTTTTATCTGCATGGACTCATATGTCTGTAAAAAACGAAAGTCTTAACACAGAGGATGTATTTTAATATTACAGTGGGGTTTTACAACCTGTGTTCAATGCCGTGAATTCAATGCCCTTGGCTCTCTCTGACCACTTCTCCTCACCTCTAACATGCTGTGGTGTAGGGCTTCAGCTTTGGTCCTCATTTCTTCTTCATTGGTTTCCACTCTAGCCAGTCTCATCCAGCCCTGGCACTGTAACGGACCTGTGACTAACACAGCTTCCTCTCAGTTCTCCATCTGTGTCCCAGGAGCACAGGCTGCAGATTCGTCTCTCTAAGTGACACCCCCACGGCCCTCCCCAAGCAGACTTGAGAGGTGTCTAGAACTGGCAGGTTCTCCCTGCCCAGGCTTCATTCCTTCCCCTGGTTCTCCCATCACAGCGCCTGTTGCCGCCTACCTCTCTGTTCGGCACTTCTGGCTCACTGGGCTCTGATCACATTGGCCACTCTTCTTTTCCGTGCACGCAGTCAGCTCATTTCTGCCCCAGGATCTTTGTCCTTACATTCTTTCTGCTAGAAAGTCTCTTTGTCTACATTGGAGGTCTCCCCTTCTTGTTTCCATGTCTCTCTGCAGATGTCACCATCCCAGAGACCTCCTGACCTCCTGACCTTTCTGCTTTGTCACTTTTATCCCTTTAGTGGCTTCAGGGTTCCCCCTCCCCGCCCACCCCCTCCCCCCACCTGGCTTTTATATCTCCATGGCAGGTAATAACAGCCAACACTGTATTTTGTGTTGCCTACTTATTTTTTTTTTCTCCCTGTAGAATTTAAGCTGTATGAGAACAGAGACACACTGGTCTTGCCCACTAACTGTGTCTTTAGTACTTGGAACAGTGTATGGCCTGAAGGAGATGCAGAGTTAGCGTCTGTGAATGAAGGATAGCAGAGTGAGAGGTAAACTGTATTAGAAGTGCTCTGGTTCTC